CTAAGTCCTTAACTACTATGTGTTCTTGCAGCAGGGAAAAAAAGGTTGTTGTGTCATGTTTTTGTGACTGTTCTTGTGGAGCACTCATAGGTTGTCAAATAGCTTTGCAGTGCAGTATGATTTGCGACATTTTGAATTAAAAAAACACAAATAATTGGCAGGATGTTTGGGAGAAGGTAATGTGAAGTAGAAAGAGTCTTTCATTGGAGCTTCTGAGTGAGAGGTGAGAGGAAATAATTTGGTGGAGAATTTCCGTACACACCTTTTAAAATTGGATTAACCTGCTACTCATTAATGGTTCAAAGATTATGATTGAATGTAACATCATACTTTCAATAAGACTGTTTTACCGGCTGACAGAATGTCTTCCCTCAGAATAAAAATGTCGCTTTTAATTTAAAAGAAACATGACATATTTGACCTTCTCTCTCTATGCAGCTTCCATCTGTCTCACTTTTCCTTTTCAATGATGTGCCTTCTTCTCACCCTCTATAGAGCTTTTTTTCCTTTTTTAGACATAGCTGACTCTTCCCCTCTTTGCTCTAACCCTTTTTGATTATAGTGTTTGGGAACAGAGGACCTTGTGGCTTTGGTGTTATGATCGTTTGCTTTCTGTTATCTGATCGGTCATGGCTGCTTTCAGGCGAACCTCAGCCCGGTCATCAGCCCTCAGAATAAGAAGAGGCATCTTTCCGCCCTCACTGCGGTTCTGATTATCTAACTGCATCACTTTGGCAAACTCATAACATTGTCACGTCTCAAGGTACTTTGTGTTAGTTCTGCTGAGATTAGGGAAATCGGATGTTTGAAAGACATCTCTCTCTCTGTTTTTCTCTCTCACACACACACACACACACACACACACACACACAAACTGTCATCTCTGTGTACTTCAGCAGCAAAACAGACGGAGGTGCATTGACCATTAGTTGCAAAACAAATGCTTTGATGCTTACAAGTTCAGCTTTCCTTTCCGTCTCTCTTTGTATGTTCACGGAGAGACGCAGATGAAGGCTTAATGAGCAAAAATATGATTGTACATTCAGTAAGTAGTTATTGGGAAACAGAAATCCGCCGCGCTTTGTTGCAGACAATGCGGTCGTCTGTGAACACATTCTGGAGTGACTAATGGTCTCTAATGGATGACAGGCAGCAGCAGAGCCTTCACAGACAAAAGCAAAGATACATTCCTCTCCTCTCTCTGTCGATAGCCAACCTTTAACTGGGCATAGAAGGACAAATCAAAGGTTACAGTTCAGTTTTTTTTATATTAAAATCCTATAAAAATGATATTGCATATTTGTCATGTTTCAAAGGGAAATTGTATAGTACTGAGGGGGATCTATTAGTAATGGGGTATTCAGTTTGGTTCTAACTGAAAACAAAATGCTACATTTCGCCAAATTGTTCACACTATAAACACACAGTAAATCAAGTTTATTAATTTCCCATTTGAAGTGAGACACATTTGCTATGAATCAGAAATATAACACTCAACAGACAAAACCATTGATTTGGGCCTTTTTTAAGGTTTATTTCATCAAACAAAATGTTTAAATGTTTTCATATTTCAACTGTATTATAGCATCCTTACCAGTTATATCAGGATTTCATGGTTATATAAAACACCTTTCATGTTTTTTTTTAAATCCACCCTTCAAGGGGGATCAGCGTGATCCTGCATTTTGGCATCTAAACTGTCCCGATCTCTGCCTGTAACTTAACGCTTAAAGCTTGATCGGATTTCTAAATGCAAAAACTAATTAAAATGATCAGGATCTCAGATTCAAAAGGAACCTATATTAGTATGTATGCTCAATGCCGTATCATGCAGACAATGATCTACAGTACAGGAAGTTGTCATATTATTAATCAATAACGGTTTTACAGCCCAGTCACATTTAATTTGGCTCTCTCATCCTTGGATATAAATAAAATATCATCACTAAGGTTTCATTACCTTGCATAAGAAGACCAACAAGTCTTAGAACTATCAATCTATCCACTTCAGATTTGTCTCACAAATTACTTTGGCTGTTGAAGGAAGCGAAGCAAGAAAGCAGAGCTGCATCACGACAGCCAACAAGCCAGCAACAGTGAATGTATTTTCTAACATTTGCCTTCTCACATTTCTTTTCCCTAAGCAAATAAGACAACAGTAGAATAGCAGCATTATTTAAAGTGTACACATTCATAGGTTAGAGTCGACAGAATGAGGTCTGTGGGGGTTGGAGGAAGGAGAGAAACTCACAGAAAGAAATACAGAGGCAAGGAGAGTGTATTCTTTGTCTAGAATCCATCCAAAGAATCTGTTCTTTGTCTTAGTTTATTCTTTGATAAGATGGGGTTTATACATGCGTGTGTGTATAAAGAACTATCTTTTCAGGACAGCTCTCACCATTAACTGAACTCGCAGTGCGTTAAAATAGATCCAATTTCGGTGGTCTTGCATTGATGGCGATTCGTCCTCACACACTCGCATGGAAACAGGAATGTGCTGTCACCAGTGCCGAGCGTAAAGATATGTCATGTGCTCATATCGTGGTGTCACGCCTGCTCAGCTCAGTACACGTCCTGCAGAGATAACCGGTGTTGCGAGGGACGGGAAAAGGACAGAAGAAATGCAATACTAAATGAGAGTGAGAGCAGCTGTCGTTTAGCCAAACTGATTACAACTCTCCTGCCATTTACTGTAGGTGTTTAGCGTGGAAGCGGCAAAGCAAAGCTATCCATCCCTCTGCAGACCAAATGACATGAGATAGCGTGCACGCTGACATTTCTCAGCATTTGTTCATCTCTGTGATCATTGCAGCAATGCATACACAGACGCTGGAAACAGAATGCAGCTCAGGTGCCAAACCCCTCCATTCAGTCACCTCCAGGGCAGGACATTTACCAGTGACTGACAAATTACAGTCGTACTGTAAGTGGGTGAAAACACGGAGATGGTGGCAGTCTGCGTTGATTTAATCAATCAAAACTATGAGTCAGACCTGTAGCGATGCAATTAATTGTAACAAGTTACTAAAAAAACAGTTTTTAAAGTTAATTGACTATTACTGTGATTGACATTCTTGGTGAAAAACAAAACACTTTCTTATATTCCTGTTATTCTTATAAATAAATGTAATTGATCTGATTAAAAACTAACAATAGGTATATCAAATAAAGGTTTGCGTCGTAGTTTGAGACAAAGTTGCATGATGTGTGCAGGTAGGGGAAGGAATATGGAAAAAGCTTCTTGAGACTGTTAAAAAATTGAACTGTTGAAACAACTTCAAACATTCAACTGCTACTCAGTAGTATGTATCTAATACCTAATATATATATATCATTCCAATAACTTGTATATAGACTCATACTGCACTATTCCACATCATAACTTTATTTCATTTTTATAACTATTATTATTTTTGTATTGCTCTTGCTCTTATTGTTATTATGTTATGTTATTATGTTGCATTGTTGGAGAAGCCTGTGACATAAGATTTTCAACTGCATAATTACTCTGTAGCTATGTCAGATTGACAATAAAGAACCTTGAACCTTGAACCTTGAGGATGTTAAAAACACCTTTTTCAGGTTTTCAGACACATTTAATATAATTATTCACCGTTCAGCCAGCCAGGACTTTTTGAAAGTACTCTACAAATAGACTAATGTCCTTTAGTCTTTGTAGACAAGTTACAAACCCAGGGTGCTTTACTTTTTATATCATTTACCTCCAATGACCTTAAGATTAGAATTGCATGCGGCCTCACAAATAAGAAAACATGGACACTTTTTCACAAATAATCATGCCTCTTCTCTGCTGCAGTCACACAAACACACACAAAAACACACACACGGTTCACTGCACTTGAACGAAGTGTGCTCAGAGTCACTGTGATGGAGAGATACTCATATGAAATAAGGTTTGTAGAAAGGTGGTGCACTTGCAAACGAAAGGCCTGCATAAATCTCTCGAGCACCAAGGCCAGTGAAACAAAATGAAGGCACTTTTTATCACCCTCTACAAACAAAATGAAAAAAAACATTATTTTGTGCTGTGTTGTTTTGTATACTACAATGCAGGCATGAATCCCGTCATTTTCAAGGTGCCACCCCATAGACTGGTGCCACCCCATTCTGGAACAGTGCTCCCAGTGTATTACAGATATGAAGTAGAAAGTCTTCTTTGAATACCATGGAGTATGTTTCAACAAGCCAGCCAATTTCAGCAAATCCATTTCAACCCTCACATCTTGCCAAATTCTCATTAGGCCATCTTCTCAGCCAGTTATTGCAGTATTGATTTCCATTCCCGTTATGTCTTTTGAAAGATTACATTTTCATATAAGTAAAATGTCTACGATGGTTTCCACCAGACAAGGCCATCAGTCTTGTTTTCTGTAAAGGTGCACCGATGCGTTCATTTTCTGATTCAACAGAAAGTTCTGTTTTGAACTTATATTTCGATACCATTTTAGACTTTTTACGCATTTAAATATATTCATGCATATATTGCTTACACTACACAGCCTGGTTTGACGAGCTTAAACCTTTTTGAATTTTACAATTAGCAAAACCTATACGATATCACAGAGATTAGTATTCAAAATGAATAAGCAACACTGCTTATACATGTGTGTAAATATTGCAAATATCTAAATTGTCAAATGCATGTTGATAGGGTTGTAAGTGTTTAATGTGTTTGTGGTAAAGATCAAACTGTGTTTTTTTCAACAATATGCACGAGTTACAGTTAGAGAGACAGGAAAAATATGATTAGACTACTGATCTTTTTTTTTAGATTTGTGCTTTGCTGTAACCATCTCAGATTGGTTGATGTGTCTGTTGGCCGCCTGCTTTTTCTTCCTTTCTTTCTTAGATTTTCTCTGTCCGACTGTTTCTGTGCATTGTGTTCCCCAAGAGACACCAAACGCACTTGATACACATCAACCTTCACACGGTGTCTGGTTTATAATGTTTACTGACTGTCTGTCTGTCTCTCTGTGCAGCTTTAAGGGACAACAGGATTGAGCTGATGCATGCGTCGTGGTCGGAGCTGACCATCAGCATCAGTGATGTCACGCTGACGGATGAAGGCATGTACACCTGCTCCCTCTTCACCATGCCTGTGAGAACGGCCAAAGCCTACCTGACTGTTCTAGGTGAGTACCTTTTAAACATTTAATACAATTCCTGCTTGAAGGAAATGTTCATTTGTAAATAATTGGCCGCAATTACTTTAAAATATAGGTGGACTTTAGAATGGATACGTGGTATATAAGTGGGAAGAACATAGGTCATAGATAAGCTTCTGTTCTTCCAATTCAATTAAAATAGCTTTATTAGCGTGACTATATTTACATACAGTTTTGCCAAAGCTCTGTACAATTGCAAAATCCATACACAAATACACATTTGTTACAAACTGCTGAATTCTGAACATAAGCAAGAACAACATTTTCCGGGGTTAGTTTTATTTATTTAGTTTAGTTTGTTCTTCCAATTACTGGAGGTTACCAACATAGCTAATTGTTCATTACTAACAATAAATGGGTTAATTTGTTGCGCTAAGTATTTCAGAAAAAAATAACCGTTGATACAAATAGCCTGTTGCTTATGCCAGCATCTGCTGACAAATAAAAACATAATATCGGACTCTTCGGTAATGGTTTTGTTGTGATCATCACCCCCACACAAACATAGCATTGTCTCATTTCCTGCCACTGGGATTATTATCTTGCCAATTAGTTGCCGCTAATGTTAATAGATGTCCTAGTGCACTCCAGGACCATTAGCAGCCTCTCTATGTTAACAAGCATTTAGAGAATTAGAGACATTAAAGGCTACTGCTCAATAAGGTTACAGAGAAAATGATGTTTTTGCAATACTGAACAATAGTTAATGGCTGGGAGATTTAATTAACATACAAAAATAAGTCTGTTTCCGGACGGTGAGTGCTAGGAATGATAATAGGAATACATTGGAATTTATTTGGGGACAAAATACCTAACTATTGGGAAATAAATCACAACAATTATTTGATTAAATAGATCTTAAAGGGATATCAATGAGAACCATCTTGCATCACAAATGGAGCTCTCATTTCATTGTCATGTCTTGAAAATGCTTGAGCGGCAGACCAACAAATATACCACAGCACATACAAATCAGTGACGCACAAATGAGCAGAGAAACACACACACCCATAATACTATTCACTCACATGCACACACAGAGAGGGAGAAGGATTAGCGGCCCCTAGCAAACCAAGGGGAACGTCACTGTTTAAGATGAACTCAAACACTTTTCTGAGGCAGGCCACACTGCCTCATTCCCTCACGTACACATACAGCACAGTACTTAGATATAAAGCCCATCCTTTGAACACATTGGGAAATATGTATAGTATGAAATTAGATGAGGAGGGATAGATCTCACTGCATACTGTATTTACTGTTTCTTCCCTTAGAGCAGGGGTTCCCAACCTTTTTTCCCAAGAGCCCCCCCAAATGACTCCTGTTGGAAGATGCGCCCCCCCCCCCCACACACACACACACAAGGGGGATGAAAGCGTAATCAAGGAGCACTATTGGAGTGACTTTGATGGTTATTGGACTCAGGATTAATTAATTTGGATTCCTGCTGTATGAAGAAATTAAAGGACGGCGCAAGTGGAAACAATTCACAAAGGGATTAAACTGTTTAAAACACATGCTCAAAGTAAGCCGGATTTTGCCGATGTGTTTATGTGGATACAAAAGTCGTAAATAATCTACAAAATGGAGGAGACCGATCTGATCGGAGCAACTGTGACAAATAATCTGAAACCGGCATGGACAATGACTATGTTTTAAAAATGCGCTTATCCAGAAAAGCCTGGTTTGGACACTTTACGGGCAGAAGAAACATTTCTATTAAAGAAAGAATTATACATTTCTGTCTTGTTATGCCTATAATAGCTACTAACTTGAATTTTTATTCAAATTAATTAATCAATTATTTTGTATATGTTATTGTAATGTAGAGACAGGGCTTTTAGTGACAATCATGTATTGCGTTACAATTATATGTAAAAAAAAAAGAAAAGTCTAAATATGATATTTGGCCTCAAATGATCTGAGGCCTGGCGCCTCCCCTGCGATCTTTGGCGCCCCCAGGTTGGGAACCACTGCCTTAGAGGATGGTAAACAGAAAACAGAAGGACCTTTACTTCTGAAAATAAATCTTACAGGAGGTGATGAGAGAGACAAGGCCAGAGCCAGTCGATGGCATTGACTGACAGACCTTTCAGTGACTCTGCCTGAGGCAGACATATTGCTCATTGACATTAGAAGGGCCCTACACACTTAAAACACTCATTTGGGAAAGGCCAGTAATTAACATATTCTGTACAACCTCGTAGCCTCCTCTGCGGTCACTTGTGTTTGCTTACCGTGATTTACACAAACACACACAAAGAAACCTATTTTAACGTAGACCTTGCGCTATTTAGCTGGAAATGTTTGTTTTCTGTTCTCAGGTACTATTTATTGGGTGGTTAATAGTTCAAAAAGAGTAATAATTAAATCTGTTAGCATAAAAAGGAAAACTCTATTGACTTTGATTGTATTTGAGTTGAACACAGACAGATATATCCCAACATAGATAAAGGAAAAACAAACTATCTGCCTGGCTAGATACCTCTAGATGTATGGGAGAAAATATGTGTTTTTCTGTAATTTGGGTGAACCGACCCTTAACGACTAGACGGTCCAATGGTGAGAGAGACCATCCAGCACTGTGTCAGCGAGAATCCTCCCTGATGTGTTGTGGAGCAGGCTGCTGCTCTGTAGTCTGCACTCTCATCTCCCTGCAGGAGCCCGAGCTGGAGGAGAATTTCAAATAAGACATAACAATATTATCGTTGCATAATGACATGCCGCTGTGTGTGAATTAGTTCCATCGCTGTGATTTCCACGTTTCCATCCTTCAGGTGTCCCGGAGAAGCCAGAGATCGACGGCCTGACGAAGCCCGCCTTGGAGGGAGACCAAATCACTCTGACCTGCATGACCCAGGGCAGCAAGCCCGCCGCCGACCTGCGCTGGTTCAGGAATGAAAAGGAGGTCAAAGGTAAGCAACATCTGAATCTGAATGTTCTTCTGCATTACTGCTATGGGTTCACAAATACAGTGAGTGTAATATTATACAAGACCGTATATGCAGGGTTTCACCTTTGGTATTTTAAATCGCAACAGACCGAATACTTGGCCTGTGGCAATGCACTTTGCAGCATCTCTATAACCAACTTTACACTGGACACTGCACTTCCTTGGGTCCTGAGCATTACACCTGCCATGACTTAGTTGCGTCACATATCCTAGTCACAGTTACACAAAGTCAGAAACACAGCTGAAATCAAATCAGTTTCAAAATAAAGAAGACCAGTATCGGCAACTTTACTTTTACTGACAGTGAAATGTTGCAGATAAAAATAAATACCCTTTAACAAGGAAATATGATGTGTTAATATTCTCCCAAATCAGTTTATAAGGGTCAGAAACGACGGTAAAATATAGTTAGAAGAGGTGATTTCCCAGTAGGATGTTAGTCACTAGCTTTGCATTACCACACCAGTTGTAAATTAGAGCATTTTTTTAAATAGCATTACTTAAGTATTTATCTGGCTGTAACGTTGTTAGTGTTATCAGTTAGCATCAAATGACACACATTGCTCGTGATTTTCTACAAATCATTTTTTAGAAAAAAATGTTGGACTACATATTTTTTCTCATTAGCCGTTTCTCAATGGTATAATTTAGTTTTTTACTCTAGTGTTAAAAATATACCATTAATCATTCTGTGCTTTCAGTGATCTCTACAGTAATAACTATTAACAGATGTATTGTCCAATCCCACACTATGGTTGCTCTTTAACTTCTTAAAGTGGACCTATCATGCTATATTTGAATAATATATTGTAGGGCCATACCTATATAAGGTATATTTATACGTTTTCTTTTTCAAAATACCAAACAGATCATGCATTTTAGTCATGCCTCATTTCGCTCTATTTTGCTCTCCTCCACCCTGTCTTTGCATGCGCTGCAGCTGACCACGCCCCCCTGCAAAGGAGGGGGCCGAGTTACGAGCGTCGTGTTACCATGCTGTTACCATGCCACGGCAACCTCTCATTCCCCTGATAGGTGGAGAGTTGGCCATATACAGTAGGCGGAGCTCCTCCGTCCTGACATCAGAGGAATGTTCAAATCTGGATCAGTCTGTATCAGATCTGTTGCAGCCCCGTTTTTAGAGATTTGGGTATGGAGGAAAATAGAGAGGGTTGTGTTTTCTGACACTTGGTGAGTTCCCTGACACACCGGGGACACATATTCATGTATAAAAGACGTACATTTTGCATGATAGGTCCCCTTTAACTAAGCCTACAACTTGAAATGTTGTATATGGAGAGACATCCCTATATGTGACAAACGCAGACAACATGGCTCAGACAGTGCTTTTTGATAAACAAACCGAGGATGTGCATTTGGGTTTTAGAATACTTTGATGATAATGGTTGTCGAAGTCTCTCCAGAGTATTTTAGTTCTGAACAAGTTGTTACTAATAGAGCAGATTCAGCATGTGTCCTCTGGCCTGAGACCGATACATGAATCTCGCTTGTTATCAGAGAGATGTTCTAAATCACACTGACTGGACTACACACCTCATTTCCACCCTGCCCCCGCTCTGTTCTACTTGATGAACCATCCGCTTTGTAATTGTTTGAACGGGAGAGAGCGAGAGCAAATGAGACAGAATATTGAAGAAAAGAGAGCTGGGGACATGAAATGAGTTTTTTGAGGAGGAGAAAAACAGAGGCAGTTTTGTATCAAATAAAATGCAGAACCCAGTGGGGCAGACTGTCACAGATCATCAGCAGTTGCAGAACTTTTTAACAAAGGTCTTTATGCTGTTTAACAAAGTAGATTAAAGGCAGATGTTCCCACATCTAGAAAAAACAACTATTTGTATGGATTTTCTCACAGCCCTCTATTGCAGCAGCTAAATTACAGCCTGTGGCGTAAAGTTTGGCACGGTATGATAACTGTAATAATGATATGATTACTATTTTATCATTTTAACACTTTTAAAATGTGTGTACAGTATGTGGAGGTATTTTACTCGGCTCACTGCATCTGTTTAAATGACTCAAATCAAACAAAGTACTTTATTGGTATTGGTATCACTATAAGGGTACTGGTATTGGTACTGGTATCGTAGTTTTTAAATAATACCCAGCCCTTAGTGTAACCCAACAGATCACTGAAACTCATAGTGAGAATCTGGGTTGTGAAACACAAAGACACTTCTTAGATAAATGTATAATTATGTTGTTTTAATATATTTGTATTTACTCTATTTTAATTAATTTTTTAAATACAAGATTACAATGTACACACCAAAAAGATTACCTAGCAACTTCAAAATGTTTTTCTTTCAAACACCGTAAGGGCAACATGTTAAATTAAAAAAGTATTTCTATCATTATTCTCTTATCACTATTTATTGATATTTAATGTATGACTTGATTCCCTTTATAATAGTTATAACACTGTACGTTCTATAGAAATGATGTATTATGCCTTTCATTCATTAAATGCTAATGCTTCAGATAGTAGTGTTTTTCTCACAATTTCGTAATCCCAAACCACCATGTTGTTGTATTATAGCTGTTTGTCACTCCACTTTATATTCCCTCTTGTTGCTCTTCTGAGGAAAATGAAGCTTATAGAATATACACTAATTAGCAGAGTTACTATTGTTCCTTTCAGGCTTATTGTGTCTCTACGGGTGATTATTATTTCTCCCAGTGGCCCACTACTGAGAGAGAGAGAGAGAGCTGTAAGGCAAATGGGAACGTAGCGAGGGCATAATGTTCTCCTAATTTACCACGGAAAGTTAACAGGTAGTAAGAGATATCCTTGGTGGTTTGAAGAGAAGGAAGTCTCGAGAGGATCCGCCTTCTCATTAAGGTCAGATGCTATAATTCTCTCCTCAACGCGGCACACTAGACTATTCCCTCTACAATTTTATATCAGAATATTATTCACTGTGACAAGGTTGTAGTTCTTTGCTCGTAAAGGACGTTAATAGGGGTGACTGTGGCTGTGAGGTAGAGTGTTAGTGGGTGGTTTGATTCCCAGCCCCCACAGGACACATGTCGTCTGTCTTTGGGTAAGATACTTCGCCCTAAATTGCTCCTGACACCATGACCAGTGTTGCACCTTGTTAACAACCTCTGCCTGTGAATGGGTCCATCTTCATTTAATTGTTATATATACCGTATATATACATGCATACACACATTATCTTTTGTAACATTTGGACTGTCTTTGTTATTTTATACGCATGACTACTTTTCACATCTGTCTTTCCTGGGAGAACAAGGCAAGGCAAAGAAGGGCAAGTGTATATATATATATATATAGCACTTTTCAACACAAGGCAATTTCAAAGTGCTTTACAAAAATGAAGACATTCAGAGCATAAAACACATTAGAAATGTTAAAAAGCAAAGATAAGAAAACATGAATAACACAGGTACATGAATAAAGGTTACAGTGCTGTGTAAGATGTGAATAGTTCAATTAAAAGCAGCGGCAAAAAGAAAAGAAAAGTCTTCAGCCTGGATTTCAAAGTAGTAAGAGTTGCAGCGGACCTGCAGGTCTCTGGTAGTTTGTTCCAGATATTTGACAGTATCCCGAACCACATTCTCATATTCCTCTACCCCTAGTCTTCCCGTGAAATTATAGTTCTTTTGACACTTTTCTAACCTAAAAAAAAAGTGTATTTGTGATATATAAATACAATTTGGTTAATTGATTGATGGATGGGTGAATGCTGACTTGAGCTTTGAGGGGTCCCAACCACTGAAAAATCACTATATAAATGCAGTCCACTTTTATTTATAGTGTGTTCACCCTTCTTTGTAAATGTATAATATTTTCTATATTCTTTAAAACGTGTAAAATGCTAAAAATAAAACTGTAGGAGGCCGTTATGTATATAAATATATATATGAGGAAGAGAACATCAGCAATGTGTTGTCCTTTTTCTCTTTGTTTAGAGGTCTTTGGAACATTGTCCAAAAACAGAAAGCAGAACCATGAGACTTTATACAAATGTCAGATTAGCAGATTCTTGTCAGATCTGCATTTGGTCTCATCAGGAGTTTCGATCGGCGGTGACGTTCCTCCCCTCGCTAAATTCACTGAAAGCTCCCTCCTTGTCTGCCATTACACCCTCTCTTCCCCGGCTTAAGCCCAGACAGCTCTGCCTGCTATCTGGCATTAGGGCTTCCCAGGGTCCAGATAAGCAAGCAGATAAGCCCAAATCAATGGTGCTTTTGCACACACTTTTAAGCAGTTATCATGGTATCTTTCCATTTAATTAACTGTAGTTGGGAGATGATATTGGATCTGTGTCAACACATTTAACAGCCTCCCTTTAAAACTCTCACATACAATTCTGATTTTCTAATTAGCGGTTTGTCTCCCAGCGCAATACATTTGTCAAGAATATTCAGAATGTGTTTTGTTCAAGAAAAAGTCAGTTATCAAGATTTTCATTGACACGGTAACACATTTAGTTCTCCAATGTCACAAAATAAATGCATCTCCGCCACTTATTGAATCGCTTTCTTGTATTAATAAAAAAGAGCCGTTTTGACTTTCTTTCCACATTTAAAATCTCCAAAATATACATGTATATACATGGAAAAAAAGCAAACATAAAGGGCAAAGCAATAAACAATGCATGTATGCATGTGTCGGTGTATGTGACTGCTCTTGAAGTGTTCATCATCCTGACAGCATCAGGGTGTGTTCAATGTAAAAAGCCATCTGATTGTGGGCGACCATGGAATAAATGACAATTGTGACATATTGGTGTGGGATCTGGGGGAATAGAAAAGATTATATTACAGGCAGAGCCACTGGAGCAGTCCATCACCCATTCGAATGCAGTTAACGGACAGCGTATGCTAAGTGTGTGTGTGTGTGTGTGTGTGTGTGTGTGTGTGTGTGTGTGTGTGTGTGTGTGTGTGTGTGTGTGTGTGTGTGTGTGTGTGTGT